CCCCCCCCCCCCCCCCCCAAATGATACATTTATATTTTGTGGGAGGAACATGAGTGTTCTCCATTAAGTGGGACCATAAAAACTTTTTTCTGACAGTTTTATTCTTGGTTGGACACCTGTTTATTACTTTTGAATTCAGTATTTTAACACACAATTGTGTCCAGCATAAAGAAATGATTATAACAATAGTTACCCGAGTTTCTAGCATATCAGGCTGGTAATCTACTATATTTTTGCTAACCCTGCCTGCTTACAAGCCTTGAAACTGTTTACAATGTTTTTATGACATTATATATGTCTTTGTTTGTGTGTATGTGTGTTCATGTGCATGTGTAATTAGGCTTTTTAGCAATTATTTGTAATTAAATTCTGTAGAGAGCCACATTACTGACTATATCATGGTTTATACTGTAATTCAGTAACAAGCAAGCTGTTTTACTGTGCTGGAGAATGGACTGTGGATTTTAATTATCATCAGAAAATCTGGATCCCATCAGGGTGTAGAGTAAACCGTTCTGTAGCAAGGACAGAAAAAAAAGCTGTGCCACAAAGGGAACAGCATGCCATCTTTGTTTTTACTCCCAATAAAATGCCTTTCTAGTAAAGATTTTGACTGTTACTGTGACTTATTTTTGGCATATGAAACTACTGTTTTGAGACTACAGCTTACTGGTAGTAAAGTGAAGCATTTGACTTTATAAGCATGACAGAGGTTTTTTTAACTTTATGAATGAATGATAAGATGTCTGCCCCCCTCTTGGAAGGATTGTCCTTGTTCAAGTATCCTATATCCTTATTTTGGGGAATGGAAGGTGGAAACTTGGCCCTGACCAGTAAAGCACATCATTTCAGTGAGTTTACTCACAATTAAGCGTGTGTTGAAATTCTTTCCTGGACTGATGATTCATGTATTCTCTGGTGTATGATATATACCGTGGGCTTAATCTATCACCTCATGTTTATGTATTATAGTGCAACTATATGGTACTTATAGGGGATGAACACTTAGAGATGGGAATTAAATCAGGAAAACCCAAAAGGTTCAGGAGAGTTTGTATTAGATTACATTCTAATTGTACTAATAAACATTTCATTTTTTCCAAGGTAA